CTCTTCCACCGTCTCCCTGTTGACTTGAGCCCGTAGGCAGTCGGAGGGAGGTGAGTAACCGTGCGAAAAAGGGTGACAGTGCTCTTGCCCTGTCACCCCATCATCTGCTTTTGCTATTAAATCCACATCCCAGTAGCTCATTAAGCAGGCTTGTGGAAGAAAGTTAAAGAAAAAACATCCCGGCGTTGTTCAGGTTAATTGTGACAAGATCTTAAGAGGTCGTTACTTTTCAGAATGGATTTCCGAAGTCTTAAAATCGTGTCATTTGAAACGTTTAGGCGTTAAACAAGCACATGGGTTTCATATCAGGGGCTCCACACATCACAAGGCCAGGCTCTGTGATGCTCAGCAAGATCCTGTTCACATAGTAACTTGTCTCTGAGAATGCAAATGAGTAAGAAACAGAGGTGGCATAAATGCAAAGTAACCTAGTAAAGGGGTTGTGCATTAAGTACAATAAAAAGCCCAGTTAAGTTTCTTTAGGCTAAATTAAACCAAATCTGTCATTCTTTTGGAAGGTGTTGCTCTGGTATTTTTTTAGGGTTTAAAAAAACCCCTTAAAACTCAAGACTTGGCAGTGTTAATTAAAATAACATTTCTAGGGAAAGATGCTTTCCAGCCTCAAAACTTAGCAGTGTCTGTTCTGTTACTACTTAGCAAAGTATGAACTTTCACTCCTGCTAAATGTATAGGTGTGATAACTATCGACAGAGCAAGAAAACAACTGGATTTGTATGGAGGCATTTTTTTAAATGTTGCATTGTCTTTTAGAGTGGCAAAACTGAAGCAGGAAATAGCACCTTTTTTTTTCTTTTTTTTTTTCTTCATGTCTTAATGTATTTTCAGTGTAATTAGGAACCAGATAAGGAATTTTTCAGTAGGGGAAGTTCATAACTTCCTGGTACTAGCTAGCTTTTGTAGGTTGGTTTTTTTTTTTTTTTTTTCTTTTTCTCTTTTGGTTGCTGTTCTGTAATGTAACATGATAGTAAAGGGGAAGTTTGTGAGCAGTTTTGTCTCTGTTAGACTCCATAAAAACATAGAGATTCTTAGGTAGATTACTTCCTTCTAAAACCAAATTTTACGTGTTTGGTTATTTAAGATTGACCTAGAATGTGCTATATAATCTCATTGCCTCTTTTTGCCTGAGGTGTTGCAGGAGGTTACATGTGTTTGCTCTTGCTTTTCAGAAATGGCTGTTGCTGTGGGGACATAAGGTCACCACTGATGTGTACAGAGCAGTGACATAGAAGTTGAAGGGCGACACTTCTCCTCCTTAAACCTCCCACAACGACCTCGGATCATGGGGTTTCGGGTGATACTTTCACCTCTTCCACAGAAACCCACAGCTACTTGGCTTTCACACCTGGAGGGTCTGTGCACAGGGCACAAATCATGTAGTCCCTCCGGACCCTGTTTCCTTTAAGCAAAGGAACGAGGCAAAACATACAAACCCTTGATCCCGTTGTCTCTTTTCTTGGTGGCAGCATGTTGCACTTTATCCCTAATGGCACAGGCTGTGTTAAACTATAAACTGGCCCAGGTTTCTCATCATGGAGAGGTCTGATGGAAGTGTTGTTCTGAGTGTTTGGCATTGATTGTCCTTCTGTTCCTTTCTGTATTGCTCAAAACAGAGGAGAATAAACCAACCTTTGGTTGTTGAATGAGTATACACTGGCTGAACTCTTGGAGCTCTACCTGCTTTTTCCTTGTTTATGTAATTGGGACACTTGATCTCCTGTATTCTCTTTTAAATTATTTAGCATAGTATTCAGAGCATGGGGAGGTATAAACAATTTTATAACAAAAAGAACAAGAGGTAGGTTGTAATATGTAGGATAATGCTCCTATTGCTAGCATGTGTATAGGCAATTATAATTAATTACAAATGCAAATTAAAGTCTTAAGCGTTTAGATGGATTAGCTAGATTTTTGCTTTTGTTCCATTTCAGATGCTTTTCTGAGTAGTTGTGGGCAGGTAGGTAATACGAATAGCTGGGCGTTTCTCTTCCAGAATAAGCAGAAGAGAGTTTGTTTTTAGACATAACTCTCATTTGTTTGACAAACACAGCAAGACCTGGAGAGGACAGGTCTTTAGTAACTGTGTGGGAACTACCAGACCTCTGTGCGTGAGAGCAGATTGTGCAATAGTTAAGCCATGCCCCTTCACAAGCACACTGCTGATTTACAGAAACAGGGAGCGTTGACCAGACCTCCACTTGGCTGCAGAGAGCTGAGAATACCTTTAGTTCAGACAAACCCTTTTCTGTGTTTCTTCTCTGTGCAAAACACGATGACACCAAAAATCACGGTAGAGATGATAATGTGATTCTTAAATAGAGTGAGAGAGAAGCAAGATAAAATGGAAGTTTAATCTTTAATCTCTGGAGGCTGCCGTGTCACTGAGCTTTACTTTCCCACAGACACACCTGCTGTTAAGCAGTGGGTTTGCCTTCAGTGACATTTGTTTCAGCCACAGCCCCATAAAGATCACCAAGCCCGGCATCTTAAAATAAAGCGCTCTTAATAGGTGAGAGATAAGAGCCCTTTTAAGCAAGCATTAGTAGACCATGAAGGCAAAGTATTGGTTAAAGCAGAGCAAGTAGAAGTGATTGTAGTCAATAGTAGTTTCAAACAGCAAGGCTCTAGCTAGCTTTGACAAATACATAACTTGTGTGGGTGTACTGTGCGTCTGGTTAGCAGCTATGTAAGTATGCACATCTCCACGGTGAGATGATTAGTAGGCACTTTGCTGCAATTTTGTCATTAGAACTTCTAAAATAGATTTTTAGTTTAGTATCTGGGCATGTGTCTGTGGCGTGCTGTGTTACATAGGATCGGAAAGGTGAGGTTCTTTTCTCAGCTGCACGATGGAAGTGCGAGGCTGGCTGACGCGCAGCAGTCGCTTCTCGCTGCTGGCAGAAGTCCTCTGGACTGTGCTGATAAATACAGTAGCATAAGGAAATTTAAGTGTGAAAGTTAAATGGCCATACTGCTGCAGTGGTGTGTGAGCTTGGTTTAGTGAGCAGCTCAGACCTCTGTTCTCTCTTTGAAACCAGCTTTATGTCGCTTCTAGGCTTTTTTGTTAGCACTACCTGTACCCCCCTCCTTTGTTGTACCGGGTTACTTTCCAGAAAGAGAAAACATACAAAGCTTACCTAAAGGAGAATTAGGTCAGCTGTGGGAAGTATCTAGAAAAGGGACCATCCTTGTAAGGAACTGGACCTGGAGTAGTAGCTGCTGTGTATTTAATGTGACAGCTCATGGTCTACTTCCAGAAAATGATTTAAAATCTGGTTGATGGGAGGTGATCGGTTTAGATATTGCATCTCAATAAATTGTCAGAAAGGAATATAGGCAGTCCTAAACCATAGTTCTCAAGCGTTTGGCACAAAATACAGCCTGGAGTTGAAGTGCATTGTGCCATTTTAAAAGGCATTCAGGTTTTGAAAGGGCATGTGTTGTTGGAGACGTCCAGCGTGCTTTCACATATTACCATTCCACAGCAGTCTGTAGGTGTGTTACATTCAGGTCAGACCAAGGTGACATCTCAGAGATGTAGTTCTTTCCATCCCTTCTCTGCTTCTCTTAACTACTTTATCTTTTAGGTTATAATATTTTCCTACTTTGAGTATGAATTGCTGCAGCACTGGAAATGTTTTGCAATCAGCAAATCCTGGGCACGAAGTTGAAGCTTTGTGTTGGCAGGTATACCTAAATCATTGTAGGTGCAACATGAGAACAGCCTTTATTATGGGGTTAAGATTGGAATCCACCTCTTTGCCAAAACTCATATGCTGTGGACTCATAGGCTGTGTAAACCTTGGGCAAAAGGAAGCAGGGGAACTTTTACCCTTTTAGCACTTTGAATATATTTAATAACTATTATGCTTACATTGAAGTCAGAGCACTTTTTTTTTTTCTTCAGTGCTGTGCCACAGGATGTTGCCTGTCATGTTTGTTTGTGATGCTCGACCTTGCTTGAGTAGGATGCTATTATATGAAGATGACAGAGAGCTCAGTAGACATTTCCATAAGCTACGTTCTTCTGATCGTGCAGCACCATGATGATTCAACTGCTACAATATTTACTTACCCTCTCGTTATTTGTTTTTCACATGCCATCCCACTGTTGTCACTGTTTGATTGACTATCCTGTTTGATGTTCTTAGTGAGATATATTAAATAGCTTGTTACTGTCTGGCAGTAAAACATCACTTGAAAAGTACTTACACTCTTCCTAAGTTAATGTCTTTCTAACACAGCCCCCCCTTACTGTTCTGCTGTCTCTTACTCTATCACTCACGGTTCCTGAAAACTTTTTTTGACAGCTGCCCAATAGCTTTCACTGAGGTTTTGTTGTCTGGGGAGATACTGCAACTAGAATTTAGTCCTCTGGGAGGTGGGTAGCTCAAGATGTGAAAATCAATACCAGCAATCAGGTGTTTTCTGAGCCCACAGTCATGGTATTCAACCCAGTAGGGTTTTTTTTGCATAATTTGCATAGTTTCTGCTTCACTATAATAGGAACCAAATCAATCAATTCTGAGGAACATCTTTTAGAGGACACTGAAGAGAACATAGTACTGACAGTACCTGTAGGTTGAGAGGACAGCCATTCCCAACAGTGTATTATAATATAAAATATCAACTGTTCCCTCAAAGTAATGATTTGGTTTCTATTGTATAAAATATGTGTCTGATGAAAGAATATTCTCTTAACAGCTGAAAGAAGCTAAGCTTGAGGTGGGATGGAGGGGAGGGCATCCTTTGCAAATTACTTACATGGCATCGATACCTGAGACTTCATTTAAATATGTTCTCTCCTCTTGCCCCCCACCTTCAGTGTGTGCATGTACCTAGAAAGAATAGATTGTCCAAGAAGGGAGACTAAGTGGAAAGAATGGTCATGTCAGTCAAAGAGTCTAGACACTAATTCTTACATCTTGTGCTGCTTTTTAAGCTCTACTGTGTGCTAACATTGAAAATGTTTTGTTTTTAAGGTGGCCCTGAGCCCTACATTGAAATATTTGAACAACCCAGGCAAAGGGGCATGCGTTTCAGATACAAATGTGAGGGAAGATCAGCAGGCAGCATTCCAGGGGAACACAGTACTGAAAACAATAAGACCTTCCCTTCCATACAGGTAAATACTGTTTTTATCTGTGAATTATCACTGCCCACACACTAACTTTGTACTGTAGCTATGCGTTGGACTCAGTACAGTAAATAAAATACTTTTCATTTTCTGTTATTCTTTCCTTTCCAAAGTTCTGGTAGAGAGGGAATTCAGTCAAGTTACTAACTGTCTGGAAATCATTATCATCTTTCTTCTGTATGCACATGTGTTCTGGTTTCTTAGTTAGGTGACTTGGGTTTGTTCTTACTGTTTGGACTGCAGCATGAATTTTGGGAGGGCTTTGAAGGAGTTTGCATACAAAATTTGAAAAGGCTTTGAAAAGCTTCTGGGCGCAGTGTGAAAGAAGGTACTTTGTATGAGTGAGCAAAGTAAGAAAGTGACTTGCAGCCAGTGATTTGATGATTAGGCTGTGCAAGAGAAACTACCATGAAGTATGTGAAGTCAGAAGGGGATACAGAATTTAAAAATGAGCTGAGAAAGGGGAATTATGTGGTCAGAGCACCTGCAATAAAGATGAATTGAGTGGTTGCATTATAGATAGGTTGGGAACTCCAGGATGAAAGGATTCAGAGTAGCCCTAGCAGCTCTCATCAAAGCAGGGACAAAGGTACAGGTGGTAGAGGTGGTATGGAAGGGAAGTTCTTGGGCAGTAGCTTTCATACATGGGACAAAAAACATGTCATAGACCCTAGACAGGGTGCGGTAAGGGAGAAGAATTTCTGGTCTCCGATTTGAAGTTTAAGTTGTTAAGTATTTCCTTGATCTCTTTCAATTTGAAGAAAACCTTTCAGAGAGTAGAAGTATATGTAGTACTCAACTATAAAGAGGAAGTTGAGTACTTGCCATCCTGAAGTATGTAACAGTGCTCAAGAACAGAAGCTGTGTGTCTGTGTTTGCAGTGTATGTAACTATGAAAAAAAAAAAAAAAAGGTGGAACCAAAGATGGAGTCTCTGGAATAACAGCAGAAAAAGAAGGATACAGAGGATGTAAAGTATGAAAAATATGAGATGTTTTAGGCTCAGGCATAAAAGCTCTTTAGGAAGAGGGGAGTTTGCAAAAGGCAGTATTGGCAGTCATGTTGAGCGGCAGAGTGAGCATCTTACTATGTAAAACAACTGTGGAAGCTGATCTAGCCCTGAAGCCAGAATTACTAAGGGAAGAAGCAAACAAGAAGGTCCCCCCCTTGACTGTCACAGTGCCAGATTTGGTTAAGGAATGCAGGAAATTGAGATCTTGCCAGATTCTTTTTCAGCACTCTATCAACTGAACAAGGAACTACATAGGCTGCTGGCAAGATTAAATACTTTCCCAGAGTCTCAGCCTAAGGCTGTGTCAGGGCACAAGTTAAATGGACAGTGTAAGCCCTTGATTCCTCTTAGCCTGGACTGTACTGCATGTGAAGGCCAGCCAGAACCCAAAGGGAAGACGGGACATGGGTAGGGGACTGTGCAATCCTGGCCAAGTTGATTCTTTTTTTTAAAGGTGACTGCTGATGACAGAGCTGATTGTTACTGATAGCAGGTGATTTCTAGGTGAATTCCTGCCTCCCTGAAGCCCGTAGGAGGCTTTAGGGCTGATTTAGCTGCTAGGGGAGGCCCCTCTAGAGATGGAAACATCTATGAGGATGAGAACAGAGAGGCCAGGAAGAGATTAAATTTTGTGGTGCAGTTATGATGAAGAACATCAAGGAGGAACTGGGGAATCAAAAGTGGCTAGATCAGGCTTCAAGGGACTGGGTGTGAAATGAGGGAGAAATGATGTAATAGTTGAAGAGCGTGAAGTAGTGGTGGAAGTTTTGTTTTAAGGGTAAAAAGTAACAGTGACTTGTATGAAGGCCAGGAAAGGAGCCATATTGGAGACTGAAGAAGCTAACAGATGACGAAAACTGGAAGAGCAGAAGTCAAGTCGAAGGTCGGAGGCGTTGGCTGAAAAGGATATATGGTGGATCCTTCCAGTCTCAGGAGGAGGCAAGAAAGGGCTGAAGGAGGAGAGGAACAGTTAGTTATAGGGTAGGGGAAGTGAAGGAAGAGAGCTTGCCTCTGCATAAATGTGTGCCTGAGCAAGTCTTGTATTTACTTTCAAGTTGTTTATACTTCAAACAATTTAGGCCAAACTGTTTTTCTTTCTTTTTTTTTTTTTTTTTTTTTACTATCACCCACGCAACCCTTGGTGACTTCATTGGTAGCCGTCATCATGAGGGAAGACTTATGCACCTGAGAAACGTGTGTTGAATTAGGTTGATGACTGCTGTGAAGGAGCTTCAGAATTCAGTGCCTCCCTTCCTGAAGATAAGATAGAATATTCATTTGAGAATTAATTAAAAAAAAAAAAAAAGAAAAGATTTCATAGGGAATTATGTCATGCTGTATCTGTTAGGAACCTCTTTCACTACTTAGTGTTCCACACACACGTAATATCCTTATCCCTGAGGCTTTAGGAGCTTGTTCCTAAGATTTGGAGCTAGACCTGTCCTTCAGTAATCATTTGTATGTGGTCACCTATGTAGAATTTTGGTTTTTGTTGTAAGGCTAGATATGATAATGAAATACGTCTTGTTACATTTGATTTTATGGCATTCCAAGCTGTTTTAGGTCTAAGCTTTTGTATTACATTTGACCTTTTGCATAGAGATGAATTCAGTTTATATAAAGAACCCCGGTGAGATGATGAAACAATAGATCTCCAGCCTCAAAAAAAAGAGGGTGGGGGGAAGGAAGAAAGAAAAGATTCTTTAGAGCCTTTCAGACTTCCTTCCCATTCTTGCATTAGGGCAGTTTAAGAAGACTGAACAGATTGAATGTTGAATACTGGCAGTAACGAACAAATAACCGTTTTTTTTTAGCAAAAGTAGCAGGTGAAATATGTTGGTTTACTTTCTGAAATGGATAAGCTCTTGAAAAAAACCTTCACTTCTTCAAATATTTTGCCAAAGAGTTTGTTTTGTTTTTTTTTTTCCTGTGAAATGAACAGAACTGAAATGGAATGTGCAACTTTGGGCTTTTATGAAGCAATAATGCCATTTTCTCAGCTGTAGTGTTTCTTCCCTAGAGTATTTGAGGATAAAATGTATTTTCTGTTACATGTGAGGATTTCACTAGTCCCAATATCTAAAATCTAGAAAATATCTCACTTTTTTTTTTTTTTAATAGATTCTGAACTATTTTGGAAAAGTCAAAATAAGAACTACACTGGTAACAAAGAATGAACCCTACAAGCCACACCCTCATGATCTGGTTGGAAAAGACTGCAGAGATGGCTACTATGAAGCAGAGTTCGGGCCAGAACGGCGAGTCCTGTCGTGAGTAGTGGTGTTGCTTGGGAATTTGATTAATTGTGCAAGTGATTTGTTAATCTTATGTTTAAAAACTCAGACTAGTGATTAAAAGAGCAATTAGTATGCTGTTTTTGCTGAAGCTTACTAATCCATCTCAGAGGGAGGGCGACTTCTCTTTGAAGTATTTCCTTCTTTTTCAGTACTTCACACACTCATTCATTGAGCATATTTTTTTCCTATCACCCTTTTCTTTCCTTTGTTCATTCTCACAAGGTCTGTCTCCTTTTCCTTTCTCCCACTTGTCTGCTTTTTTTAGTTTCATTCAGTAACACTTCTTCCTGTGATTCTCTCCTACATGTGAAAATGATGAATAATAGAAAGGATAACAACACCATTAGAGTTAGCACTTCACAGTGATTAGGGAAGTTCATATCCTCCATGGGAATTATATTTGGACTTTCTGGAAACCGGTGGAGAAAGTTTGGGCTGGATGAGTATCACGTCATTATGTCATTTAGATGATAATGGTTGGGACACATCTAGAAATGTGTTAGTAGCTGTCAGTGTTGTTGCTGTTTGTTTGGGTTTTTTTTTTTTTTTAGTAAAAATAGAGTTTCTGCTCAGTCCTAGATCTGTAGAGCAAGCATGCTGGGGAAGGATCTACTTGTGGATGCAGTAAGGAAGATTTAGGCTGTGTATGAGATGTGTTTCTTAGTGCTATTCAGAGGGATATTAAGAATATCTAAAATACAGTTGTCTTTGATGGCATTTCCTGTAAGTTTGCCAACTCATATAATAAAGTAAAAGCAGAGTAAACTGCAAGATACGTCAAGTGATTATCACTGGAAGGGGGAATTTAGAATTGACAAGCTGTTTGTGGTTCACAGTTTGAAATGTAGTAAATTTGGAAGTAGCTTATTGCTTGGGGTAAACATAACTGAGCTGGGAAGAAAATAAGGTGACTATTTCGGTGTATAAATAGCTCTTACGTGGTGCTTTCAGGCTGATGTGATTGTGTTGATGTTAGTGAAATTACTCCATGTTTATGTGGGTTTAGTCAGTAGAATGCTATTAAAGGAGAGAGCTGAAGACACAGCCTGTTTGAAGATGATGATTGCCTGATGGTGAAATAAAAAGTTGTAATAGTGGAGATGCTTCTTCAACATACAGCCCAGGCTGAAGTGATCATGAATGTGCTGTACTGTATTCAGGTGGCACGTAGCATGTTGACTGTACCACCTTTTGCTGTTACAGATGCTAATGATTTCATTGGTTTATTGTTTTTAGCTCTGTTCACAGTACTGTCTTAACTGGCAAGTGGTAGAAAAGGGTTAGTAAATGTAATTCCTATAATTCTTCCCCCACTGACATACCTCTCTAGAAAGGTGAGACTGTCCCTTCAGACACTTACCATCCATCTTGGTGATTGTAACCTCACCCTTGTGGGCTTCCCTGCAAATAGAGTTCCCCTTCACCTCGTCTAAAACTTGTCTTAAGCTGTTCAGGGACCTTGCACCTTCCTCTGACTGTCCATTCACCAGCTTCTCCTTTGTCTTCTCAAATCAGGCTTCCTCACCCAAGATCAAATGATGTCTGCCATTCTAGCCCATCCCACTTCCTGCTCTCACCTCTGGGCCTTCTGGTCTGAAGCAAAAAATCCTGATTGCTTAACACTTTCTCTGGATATGTGTTATGTTCACTGGGTGGAAGGAAGACACTGATGATTGGTTTTCCTTTCTGCATTTTGTTGCACAAGGTTAAGTGTGTAAGGGCAAGGTAAGCCTGTGGAGAGGCCATTGCAGGACAAAATGCCAAAAAGCATTGGCATGCTCTACAAATATTTGTTGGCCAGTTTTGATTTTGTCTCTGTTACATGTGTGCATCAAATCCTGTTCTTTCACTTAATGCTATGTCTCCATTCCATTTACAGCACTTGAGGCTGTTTGCTATATCCATCAATTCTTCTCAATATCATTAGGTTATAAGCCTCTCAGTTTCTTACAAAATAGTAAGTGGGCTACTTTCACTTTACTGATAATGCGAAACTGTAAGCTTCGATTGAGCTTGACATTGGAGATCCAGATGGGAGGAGGCTTGAACCATTCTCTTTGAAATGTTTCCAGCATCGGTACACTCATTTTTTTTTTTTTCAACAAATGATTGGTTGCTTTAAGATGAAAGAACAGTATGATCCATAATTGAATCTGGATGTTTAAAGTCATTTTCCTTTTTGTGGCTGGTGACTCAGTCTTCACATTCTTCTCTTCGAGTCCATGTTGGAGAAAAGCCTCATGCAGTACTAGTGAGCAGGAGATGTCCTCTCCTGGTAGTGGTTCTGGCTGTTTACTCTTGTTGAGCATCCTAAATGGAGCAAAAATCCATTTTTTTTTTGGTGTGTATTTTTTTTTCCTGCAGAATTTGAATTATTAATCCCAGATTTTGGGCTGGTCTGAGTAATTACTCTACTTTCTGCTCGTTTGAAGTTCCCCTGTATAGTTCCTGTTGAACCAAATGTTTTGTTCTGTTTGTCCTATAATGATACTTGTACTGCTGCCTAAACTTGGTCAGAGCCCTCCCCGGCCAAAACATCAAGGCAAAAGTGTCATTGTTGGAGCTTACGTGACTGCCTGTATACTCAGATTTTGACTTCCTAGTTTGTTGTCTCTCTGCATGGATGATATCATAGTTTTAAAAAAAGTTTTTCGTTCTTTTTCTCTCTTCCTACTTCTCCCTCTCTCTTCTCGTTATCTTGCTTGCTTCCTGTCAGCTAGCGTTGATGTGAAACCCCACAGCCTTGCTGAGGTTCTCAACAGTTTCTCCTGTGCTCCAGCCCTCTGCTCAGCGATAGTTCAGTAGACACTTTCACTGTGACAAGTGCGTGTTTTACAAAATGCTTATAATCTGAGAATTAAGGGGTGCTTAAAAGCCTAGTTTCTGTCCACGAGAGGCTTAGTTCACAGTGGTTGAAAGGTGCAGAGTAATGGCTGTCAGTCCTTGCACAGCTGGATAAAGCTTTTGCTCAAGGCCAGTTCTACTTATGTACTTGCTTGATAATTTAGAGTGGATGGTAGGAGAGCCTGGGACTGCCAGGTGGCAATTTGGGGATAAAATATGGAACCAGGCCCATTCATGGCCTTGAAGTGTGCTTCAGACTGAGTCTGTGGAATACACTGGGTGATCAGGGTGGGGAAAAAGTATTATGTGCTGTGATCAAGCCCTAAAAAAAGTACTAGCTACAAGACAGGATAGAAGTAGCATTGCTCACCGAGCTACAGAACAAATATTGAATGTCAGTAGCCCCAACGTGAAGCCAGGGTGCTTTAGGGAATTATAAGATGCTACTGCATTTCATTTTCCTCTAGGTCACTGTATCAGGTTCAGGTTCACAAGGAAGCTTATGTGCTCCTCTAGTGAACAAAGGTTGTGGAAGTGGAGCCTGACTGCAGGGGATTTGGGAACCTTTGAGCAGAGCATAGTGGGCACAGGCAAGGGATTTTAAGAAAGTTAATCTTAACATCATGCTAGGATAGCCTTGTTCAGAGCAGGGAAATGTAGAACGATTCTTGAGAGTGTTGGCAGGAACAAGGAGTATCTTTAGGTCCGTTAAGGTGGTTTTTTAGGCATAGCTAAACCAAAGAACCTTTGTGGAGTTTCAAAGGAAGGGAAATAGCTGGTACTTCTGGAGAAGGGTGCCTGCTGGCACGACCTATCTTCTGAGCTTATTGTAACATCATGAAACACAGATTATTTTTTTTTACTTTTTACTTCCTGCTTTACATCCACTCAGCTTTGATGATGTCATGGTTTTTCCATGTGGGAAAGAGTCAGCTCGCCTGGGACTCCCCCCACCTCCTGCATCGGGGTGACCTGTGCTCTTATGCAAATAAGGAAGAGCTGCAGCTCTTCAGAAGTTTTCCGTAACTACATGAGATTTTAAAACCTGTTTTGACTCGTTTTGAAAAAACCTTTAAAATAGCGTTTTAAATTTACATTCCCTGATAAAAGCAGGAGAGCAAATCCTTAACTAATGCGAATCAGCAGGTTTATTAATAACAAAAATAATTGTCACTTCAGATTACCTGACATTGAGTATTTAACTTTTTAATTACTGTAGGTTTACTGACGAGTAACAAATGTTAATACAGAGGTATATATTTTTAATAAAGAGTATGAATCCTTCAGGATTTTATTTTTGTATTTTTCGCTTCTGTTTCTGCTCTTACTTTAGAAAAACACAGCATCTCTGCTTTTCAGGTCTTCTACACCCTTATCAAAATAAGTTTGTTTTTTTTTAAATTTCTTACACTGTTATCACACTAGTCAACATCAAATAATTTATTAAATGTTCTACACTGAAGTCTTCGGTTGTTGAAATCCTGCCACATGTGCTTCAGCTTTCAGAATTTGGGCATTCAGTGTGTGAAGAAGAAAGACCTGAAGGAATCCATTTCTTTACGAATCTCCAAGAAGATTAACCCTTTCAATGGTGAGTAGAACTTGGCTGGTTCACTTTGCAGAGTTGGTGGGGTTTTGTTTGTCCTGCCTTTGCTTTTTGTGGTGGAGCTTTATTTTTTCTAAAAAAACTAAAAAGCCCTAACCTTTCTAAAAAGGCTCTTCCCTTTCTGCCCTCCTAGTCTTTCATCACTGCCACCACATGATTAATCTGTTTGGATAGTTGCCCCTTTTATTTATTTTTTTCAAATCCCCATAAGCAATGTAAGTTGCTGTGTGGATAGAAGCAATTGGATAGCAGCAGAAAAACCCTCCCAGGAAACTTCTACAAGTACCTCAGCAATTGGATTCCCCAGTTTTGGCAGCTGTGGCTTAACTGTGCAACAACGTAAACCAGTACAAATCTTATCTTGCTACTGTCCCATCCCTTCTCTTGTTGTGATGCTGGTGTTTGTGACCCCTCAGCCAGACAGTTCAGGGAGCTGATGGACTCCTTGAAGCTGCCCCTTGCTTGATTTTAGAGCACAGGAGCTGGGGCAGGCCCTTGGGAAGTCCACATCAGTATTGCTCTTGGTCCAGTCTGAGGCAGGTTGTGCTGCTACAGAGCCACACCTGTAAGGGCCTATACGACAGCTGATCTGTGGGCTGATCACAAAGAGTCATCCTGTTCTTCCCAACATCCCTGGTCACACACTCCTACTACTTTCCTCACTCCAGCTACAGAGGCTGCATGGCTACACGGTGAATGGACTCAGCAAGTTGCTCCAATGGAAAACCAACTTGCAGGAAAAAAAAGGGGGGGAAGGGAAAAGCCAACTCACAAGTGGTTTCCCCTCAGATCAACTTGCTAAACCAATTCCATCTCGAAGCCACACAATTGCTAAGTTCAATGAGCAGAGGGGGTGGGTAGCACACAGCAAACTGGAGCGAGACCAACACCTCCAGCATGTGGGCACAACTGGGGGGATGTAGATGAAAAGCATAAATACCCCCAGACTATTAGCTGAGCATTATGAATGCAGTCATGCATTTGTGTAAGTGTGGCAAGAGCTTGGAGATTTTCCAATTTTTTTTTTTTTTTTAATACCCACAGAAGTCTTGCTAAATTCAGGTAAAAACCCTTCTTAGAGAGTTGAGAGCTGGATTTCTGTCTCGCTTCAAAATACATGTCCCTGAACTGAGGCAAAAAGAAGCGTGTTGAAGTTATTACAGAATAAGAAATGGTTTAGATCATTTTCTTAGTTTCAAAACAGCTGCTTGGAGTCAGGCGGATGGTCCTGATGGTCCATCTAAACAATTATCCTAGTTCTGATAATGTATGCATGCAAGAGCATCTCTCTTTACATGAGTTTAGTCCTTCAGCACAATGTAAACAGTTTTAAGTGTTTTAATTATTTTTACCTTGACTCAGCCAGCTCTACTTTGAATTTAAACAAAAAAGGGGAACTCTTCTGTTCAGCCCTCTTGGCTTTCTTTTACTCCATAAATTAAAAAATGGGTTGACGTTTTCTCTTTACGTTGTGCAGTAGAAGAATGCGATAAAAATCCCTTTTTGCACATGTATTTCACCAAAGCAACTTTAGCAACCATGTCTTTAGCACTGTTCCTAAGCGCTGAGGAGTGTCATAGTGAAGAAATGTTTAACTAAAATCATTTGACAGTAGATTTTTACAGTGGTTGGCATGTAACTCTGAATTCGCTGATCGTTTTGGGGCATTTACCGCAGGTTGTACTTGGTAGCATCAGGGCAGATCCTGGCCTGCTTTCCACCAGTGCAGCAGCAGAGGAGACCACAGCCCTGCCCTGGCAGCAGGGAAGAGCCTTGTGTGGGTGACACACAGGGCAGCACCCTGCTCTCGGCGGGGGTTGTGCTGAGAAGGGGCCTCTGGCAATCCCCAGTCTGCGTAATTGCCCTTCAGCACTTGTTAATGTGTCAGCACAAAGCAGAGCCGATTGAGAATGACCTCCAGCTGCTCCAGGGCAGTCCCTTGCTAAGTAGAGCCCAGAAAAGCATAGGACCAATGTCAAATAAAACAGGATTAGTGACAGAAGTATTTTCATATGTGTACTTAGTTGATCCAAACAGGGTTTCATTAGCAGCAGTCGCCGTAATGTTCACTGCTTGATAAGATTGAAAGTTTTATGTATGGATTTAACTTGTTTTTCAAGGTGGGAAGAGTATCACTACGTTCTCCAGGATTGCACAGGCTGTCTTGTATCCTGGTTTGAGCTTGGTTTATGTCTTCAGAAAGGCATCTGACTTCTCTATGTAGAGATGTTTCAGGGTTAGGTGCATCCTCTAAGCAGGTAGCAAGGTAGTCTTCCTCATTTCTTGCATGAACATCATAGAAGAAATTTAATGGAGCTGTAAACTAGCCTTCAGGGGTTTGTGTGTTGGTTGTTTTTTCTTTCCCACCTTGTTCTGGAACAAATAGTCCTCTTTCCGAGTCTCCTTTCAAGGCAGAGGCTCAGTATTGACCCTGCTAACAGATGTGAAATGCTTCCATCCTGCCAGCATGTGTATTACTTGCCTTGTCTGCAATGCAGGGTCCGCAAAGTTGTGCTCCAAACTTGCTTGTATAAAGGGACCATTGTCTTCTGGGGAAGACAACTGGGATGGCAAAGGGAGAGAGTGAGCCCTAATGCAAATTCTCTGGTGGTGTCATCCCTCCTCCACACCTTCTGGTGTATGGTATGGATGCACACTGAGTCAAGGTCATAATCAGCACCAGTGGGAGGTTGCATGGTCAAGATGTATGAGTTTTTAAGGTCATTTTCTCCAGCACTCTCACCTGTCTTGTTAAAGCAATTGATGTCCACCTCTGAACTCCTGGCTGATAAGTTGGTGTTGTGGATTGTGCCATGTGCCTAGCTGGATCTGTCTGCATCTGAGCCATTCTGCAAGCTTACCCACAAGGCTGTTTCACTATGAATTCCCCACAATTAGCTGGCAGCGTTTATCCCTTGATAAGTTCAATGCCGGCTGTGCAAATTGCGTGCGTTCGCAGGGATGGAAATGGGATGAGTGACTTGCGCTCAGGTCATGCGTTAGTCTGGTTTGAGAGAGAGTTGCTGTTTCCACCCCATCACTGGATGTTTTCGTGATCCGTTGTGTTCACAAGGTATGTCCCGTATATTTTTGTCCTTTAATAAGATAAACAGTTCTATTAATCTCTCTTGTCTCTCATCCCTGAGCACACCAGGGAAATGGTGCGTGTAACTAGGACTCCTTGGCATGACGATGATATAAATAGCACAGCATCGAAGGAGAGAGTTACTCCTCCAGTGGAGCTGGTCCATGTCTGCTTTCTAGGGTGTTTGTTTTCTTTTAGTAGCTGTTGAGTTGTGCCATATCCTTGTCTTCCCATGTACTGTCTGATGTATGGCCAACTCAAATTAAAAGAAGAGCCAGTCTTCAGTTAAGAGCTTTTGTGGGTGGGTGTGACTTGACATAGAGACAACAATTGAGTTAATAACAACTTGAGTTAATTATCAATGAGGAAAAGCCCTAAATGTGTTCTTTAAATTTAGGGGAAAACTGTATTTAGCTCAGTATTGCAAGAGGACTTACCTTTTTCTAGCCAAATGGATGACAGTGTGAAAACCCTAGACTTGTCTTAGAGGGAGAAGCCCAGAGAATTGCCAGATTTTTTGGAAAATGATCAAGAGAGTATAAATAGGCTTTCCCTGGAGCTTGACACATGCTTAAGGTTCCTGTTTCTGTGTAATTGCTCTTGGTAATAAGCATTTAATTCATTTTTAGGCTCTCCCTTGTACCCCACGACTAATTCGGCTCCGTTTGCCGCCGCAGTCTTTCCTTTGCCATTTCCCCTTTCCGCCCGTGAGCAGCTGACCCCGTGTTGGCTCTGCCCTCGTCACAGTCTCCACGACACCCCCCTTCCCCCTCACGCCTCCGTGCTGCGCCCGGGCTCGTCCCCACACCAGTTGTACTCGCTTCCCTCCCACGTACACAGTCACCTTCCCCACAGCTTCCCCTGCACGCCTGCGCCCCTGGGACAGCCTCTCCTCTGACGCCACTCGCCCACATCAGCCAAGTTCAGCAGGATCCCCCCTCTCCAGCCCACTTGCTCCAGCCCCCTGCTTTACTGGGGGACTTAGCGGGCCACGGAATATTTCGGCAAAGACAAAAAATAGCATGAACCAAAAGGAGACTCATAGCAAGAATTCAAGTTGGGAGTTGGGAATGAGTTTGGAATGGGAAAGCATTAGAGTCCTCTGACATGAATGCCTCAGATCTTACAAGAAACTTTCAACTTTTGTCCTTAAGTTAAAACAAATGTGTCACTCCCCACCCCACTAAATTCTCAAGCTGACACTTGTCAGCTTTTTGAGAGGCACAGAGCAAATCCACTTGAGGAAAGCTAAGTGTTCTGATCCTAACAGGACTTTAGCTTTTACCTTTGGAAAGCCCTTTGTTCTTTCATTCCTCAGGCAAATGCTGTTTATGCCGAAACGTGTATATTAACTTAAAGGACAGCCTGTTTTGTTTAAAAACTAAAAGGAAAATTACCAAGTACAGACACAAAAAATGCCAATGTTTTTTTTCATACTATAAACAGAAACTGCTAAAAAATGCTCTAGAAATGTACAGAGGCTGATGGATATATTTATTTAAACCTGTTCCAATTTTACCTTTCAGATTAAACTTAGCCAAAGAACCCAGATTCAGAGAAATATTACGTAGACAAAACAAGGGCTGAGTTTTGAAACTTTTAATTTTCATTCCCAGTTCTTCCATTGGCTTTTGTATGAGGCCAAGCCATTTGACTTCCCTGTGTTTTTTCTTCTCTAACACAGGGAAATGTAACCGCAGTAGTTTGGGCATTTATTTACTGTGGGTTAGCATCTGAATTTTACAGTCGTTCGGACTAATCAACCTCCTGAGTTTTTGCTTTTTTAAAATGATTGTTGCTGATGCATGTTGTGTCTGTAGGTACATGCAAAGGGTTTTTTTTTCTGCAGAATTGACTGAAACTTACTTCTTCATGGCTCAGAGGTATAAACCAGGCACAG